AAAATAAAGTGATAGAAAATAATAGCAAACTAGAGAGAAAATAGTTCTGAGAAATTTAAACGTGAAACACTAAGAATAATCTCTTCGATTGAACCAGTAAAGCCACGCATTTTTTTATATAAATATTTTTTTTTCTCAAATTTTTTCCCGTTAAAACATTGGCAACAAAAAAAGAAGTGTAAAAATCAGTTGAAAATTAGATTTTTGTGAGTGAAAAAAATTAAAAATAATACGAAAAATATTACGAGAAAGGAAGACACAGAGAGAGAAAGCAAAGAAGTGAAGAGGCAACATATATAGGCAACGAGAAATATAGAGAGAGAAAAGAGACAACCAAACAGCCACATTATAATTTTCATCAATCAAAGTAAGTATTTTTTTCTTTTTTTTGCCAATAAAGAATATTGACGTAATAAACAAGTCAAAATATATATATTATGTCTCCTTATGATGACACGTTTTATTTGGATTTTTCTTCTACTATTAATACACTTTTATTGAGCTTTAATTCTCAAATGTACATTGTACGAATAGGGTGGGTTAATTTTTTTAAAGTGACAATATCAAATGGCCTGGGGTGGCTATGAGTACTATACCAATACTACATACCGAGAGAAAATATTCTGCTTCATTAGTTTTTCTGAAGTGATCCATCCTGTAAGGGGAGCCAGATTTGAAAAAATCTCGATTTTGGCTAAAATGTGACTTTTCCGCACACATAGTGTAAGGTGAAAAGTATTGTAATCGGTCAAAATTTTGAAAACTTCAGAAACATTTTTTCTGGACGTTTCTGGGGTCAGAGAATCCGAATCAGGCCGTTTTGAGCATGGTTTTTGTTAATCTGTACCCATATAACTCATTTGCGGAGCAATTTTGTCGATGGCGGGACTGTGCGGAGTTCGGCGGAGATAGCATGCAAATGCTGTGTGTACGAGTGCAACAGCATTCTTTGCTGTTCATAGATTTATTTTGTCCAAACGAACATCTTAGTAGCCTTACACACAGCTAAGTTACTAATCATCTGCGTAAGAATGATACACATAGATGTGCTGTTACCCTCGTACACACAGAGTTTGTATGTCATCTCCGCCAAACTCCACACAGTCCCGCCATCGTCAAAATTACTCCGCAAATGAATTACATGGGTACGTCGTACGTTGTACGACATACAGCTACATAGACTCAATTTTATCCCCAGACAATTTTGTTCCATACAAAATCCACATTTTTGGTGATTTTTTTCAGATTTTTGTATGAAAAGTGTATCAGGATCTAATTTGATTGCAAAATAAATATTTGATTGCAAAATAAATATAAGATTCGGTTTTCTCGTGCCAAAAAACCCCCCAGTACCAATTTTCTTATCAATCGAATAAAAATGAATTTACTCCAAAATATCATTCCAAAAGTTGGGTTCCAAGCATTTTTTTTTCGAAAAATTGAACCAATTTCTCAAATTGGTTTCCACCATTGAATTCGTCGGGTCCGAATTGTGAAAAATCAGTTGTCAAAGTGAACAAAAAAAGTAAAAACCTAGTACATTACAGTGGATTACTAAGATATTAAAATATAGGTGGCCGCTTAAGTTCAAACTTTTTCCAATTTTCACCAAATAAAACAATGATGGTTTTTAAAAATGTGCATATCGGCTCAAAATTGAGTGCGCTTTCGATCAATGAGGAAAAAATCGAAGCAAGACTTACATTTTTCCAAGATAAATGACGATTAACTTCGATTTTCATCGATTTTTCCCATTTTTTGGGGTCTAGTCATTCTGATATAACCTTTTCCGCTGAATTTTTTTTCAAAAATTCTTTATTACTTCATCAAGATGACCTTAACCCTAAAACCATCCATCGGGCACTCAGTGCCCCAGCAAAATTTCGAACTAAAATTAAACCATTTTGCGTGCACGAATGAATCGATTGTTCTCATAAACAAATATATATACACTTGTTAAGTTGTTCGGTGTTCCGTGTGACATTCAAATAAGAATAATAATTTTTTATAAACCAATTCTGCCGAAATTTTGTTTTGCATTGAATTGCTTCGGTTTACTTTTACATATACACAACAAACATGTCTCGTGTTCAATTCATTTTTTTATTCATTTATATGTGAATTCCCATACTCAGATGAATTTAACAGAGAAAACTTAAAGGCAAACAGTGTAAAATGCCATTTTGAAAATGAAACTGGTCGAATTCATCGGTACCGCAAAAATTTGTTCAGCCAATATTTATTATATAGCAGCACAGTATACAAAACGTAGCTGCCGATCTGCTGCGTATATTCATGTCTTTAGTTTACGAAATGACACAATATTTCTCAAAGTATCGAGAAAATTCAAAATAAAAAATTGAAAAATTTCCATTTTTTCATACAAAATACACTAACGGGCACTGAGTGCCCCCAAGACGAAGTGATACAATTTAGTAAAATTTTGTTCAACCAATATTAATTTATTTTGTCAGCACAGTATATAAAACGTAGCTGCCGACCCGATGTGCACATTCATGTCTTTAGTTCACGATTAGACACAAGATTTCTCGAAATATCGAAAAAATTAAAAAAAAACAATCAAATTTTTCAATTTTTTCATACAAAATACACTACGGGCACTGAGTGCCCTCAAAGACGGGATTAAGGTGGATTGCGAAAGGACGGTTTTAGGGTTAATGACTTTCCAATAAGCTAAGAATGACGTGATTCTGTTAAAAAACAACCCGTATACCTGTGATCAAAAATGGCCAAAAATTGAAAATTTGCTAAAAAAAAAATTTCAACTTCGGAGTATTTTTTTTAAAAAAACGAATTTTCCCAGATATGACATATACGCCAAATCATCACATATTTGGTCCCTAACAAACCCCTAGTTTTTTGATTTTTTTCATAAAAATTTTTTTTTTTTAAATTTGGATTACGTAAAAAAAGTCATGGTCATTTTTCGCCGAAAATGTCACATAACACGCCACCTGACGGACATTTTTGAAATTTTTTCCATTCTGACTTCGGATCCGGAAAGGTGAGTCTTTAACCTTTCCAACGACGTATAAATCGTTGTGGTACCTTACAGATGGCCAGAAAAATGTCCGATTGATGAAAAACTCAAAAACGGCCTCCCAAAAATGTACGACCCTAGACCAAAATCACTTACGCAACGAATTTTTTGAAACTGAGAAATTAGTTTGCTCAGTTTTCAGTCTACTTTCGAAAAAAAATAATTTCACACAATTTAAAAGAAACTACGGACAGACATACAAACACCTCAACCGGCCAATTTTGAGGTTTTTGGCCATTTTTGGCCAATGGACCATATCTCGGCCACTTTTCAACCGATCATGATGATCTTTTTTTTTAACATTATTTACGCACTCCCTAGATTCCGAATATGGCCAAAAAAAATAGAAAAAATCATCTCGGTGGTCAAAAATCGAGAAAAATGAATTTTCAGCGATTTTTTAAAAATGCCACCTGGCGGCCAAATTTTGAAATTTTTTAATTTTTTTACGGATTCCTAATGTGGTGCCCAAGCACTACTAAAATATGCAAAAAGATTTATGGTCTAGATTTTCATTTCTTCAACGTATATATAGAGTGACGCAAAATATACATATTTCATATGTATGTGGGTATTGCGTCACTTGGGGGACTGCCGTCCCCCGTGATTGTGAATAGTAAATTGTGTGAATTGTGGTTCGCCGCCGGTGTGTATTATCTTGTATTGAGACAAGATATTGTGTGTGTGTGTGTGTGTATTTTTTTCTCCAACTATTCTTCCATGCAATGACCATTCTTTTGTTGCGTTATTCAACAGCACCAAAAGGAAGAAAAACTTGCACAGGAAACATTTATCATAAAGCTTTTTTTACCGAACTCTCGTCGGTTTTTCCTTTCAAAATATTCTCGAATTACGCAAAAGAGAAAAAGAAGGCAGCAGCGAACACACACAAACAAACACATAGTGAAATTGTGTGTAGAGAAAAAAAATCTTTCGAAAACCAAAATATTATACGATGAATGAGAATATGAAACGGAACGAAATGAATCGAAATGTAACTTGAAATTCATGGGGAGAAAAGTCCATCGGCTAATTACGATTTTATGGACTGAGCCGGCTATTCGCACCGTAAAAACAAATTCTCGGTCGAATGAAACCTGTGCAAATTAAATAACGATAAAAGAAGCAGGAGCATTCCACAACATTCATTGAAATTACGAAATAGTTCTCTTTTTTATTATTTTATTTATGATTTCCTCCCGGTCTGAAGGAATATCTTTCTCCGTTGCATCATGCCCAAAAGATAAAAAAAAACATGCTCACATTTTTGACGAATAACGATGGTTTTCATATTTTAAAATCTATATTAAAAATTAAACTTGGCTAGTTTTGCTCTCAATTTTGTTGCTAGCTGCTGGCGTCGTGATTATTATTGTCGTTGTCGGATTTTACGCTTTTCTCTCTCTCTTCATGTCAATGTGCGCATAGATAGATTGATGAAAATACGTCATAAACCAACCATGGTTACAAACATACAGAGAAAAAATGTATGTGTTCACGAATATTATTATTTCATTTGAAGCAATGTGCAGTCTACAGGTATCCTTGATCTGTAATTCGGATAATTTTTGCTCATTTATTACATTCAGGCGGTGGTACATTGTTTATATTATGTTTCGTATCGCCATTGTTCGTTAGTGATTTTAGCTTTTAATTCATTATCTGCCGACTTTAAATTGTTTCGAATCGTCTGCGGTTGTTCATCGAATGAATTAAAATTGATGGCATTTAAATTTTTATTGTTGTTATCGTTTTCAGTTTGTTGGTTCACAATTTCATCGAATAGAAAACGCGATATCGGTTTGCCATAGCTATTAAATACTGGATATATTTGATCGGTTATAGTTGGATATCGATTATTTGGTACAATATCATCAATTGCACCATGATCATTTGATGGTTTTCCATATGAATAGATACTTTGCCATCGGCAATGTAGTCTCATTCATGCATAAAATTTGTAAAACCAGTGCTGATTGGTCGCAACGATAAATGTTTGGAAGATTTTCGAAATGCTTCGGCGTGTGATGTCAACCAACGAATTACGAGCTACTTGCTGACCAAAGCGATTTGGTGCTGTATTATTCAAAAAGCGATCCGATGCTTCGAAAAAATTTCGCTCCAACATCTGTTGATTCGTATTTTTATTTTCTTTCGGTGTATGTAATTGGTTTGCTATTTATTATTGATTGTGGTTCATTGATGATAATCGATCTTAAACTATTTTATTCTTTGGAATGGCATTCTTTTCGTTGAACAGATTACTGCAAATTGGCAATATATTACCATGTAATACTTTATTTTCAGTCATTGGCGTCGAACACACACTGCTGGTTCGCCCAATAAACTGTGGAAAACTGTACTGCTTTGGATGCTTTGGATGTGATATTTTTGAAACGCAATGGCAAATGATTTGGACGAACGGTTACCGGTTGCGGTGTAAATTTCAATAGATTTTTTTTGTTTTTCAATTTATTATTCGATCGATCGGTGTCGGTTTTTTCGCTGGTCGGGAATATTTGTAAATACAATTGATTTATCACGTTTCATGATTTTCTTCTTAAATTGAATCGGTGCATATGCATTGATACCATTCACAATATGGGCTGTTCTGTTGTGCCATTCTCTTGATTTGCACACTGTGTCTGAATTTTCGTTCCGAATTTTGCACTAATTCATAATCATATTCACTTTGTGGAATGTAAATTGTTATCAATTGACAGCCGATGGGTACATGAAATTTTACTGGCAACGATTCGGCGGTGCATTTTATTCGATGCGGATCGGCTAATATAAGATTTTTTTGCCAATTTTCGGTTATAAATATTTTAGTTGAGAAGAGAGAGAGAGAGAGAGAGAAAGAGAGAGAGAGAGTGAGAGAAACAGAATTATAAATGATCTGCACATGCAACACACATGTATTCAATTTGCACATTTTATTTTTGATTTTGAATTTTATCTTTGAACGATGTAGAGAGAGAGAGAGAGAGAGAGAGAGAGAGAGAGAGAGAGAGAGAAGACAAGAAAGAACGGAAATTGGGTCATAAATAATTAGATGCCTACTTTGTCTTTTTCTTAAATATATATACAAAGCATGCAAAAAGCATTAGGGAAAAAACAACAGAAGAAAATAAATAAAAGAAACCCCATTTCGAAATTTCCATTTTGGATTTTATGAGGGGTTATTGTTTATTTTATTTTTTTCTGTTGTTTTTTTCTCAATGCTTTTTGCGTACATTATCTATATATTCAAGAAAAAGACAAAGTAGGCATCTAATTATTTATGACGCGATTTCCGTATCTTTCTTGTCTTCTCTGTCTCTCTCTCTCTCTCACTCTCTCTCTCTCTATCTCTCTCTCTCTCATTCAACAAAGTAAAATCATTTTTTTTTGCAATAAAAAACTTCAATTACACTTGGGAAGATGGAAAAATGGGCCGCAGATAAGCTTCGTTGATGCAAACAAAGAATTTTTTTTTGGAACAATATCAATTGAAAAACATAGAATTAATTAACATCTTAAATCACATTGCATGAAAAATTATCAATAATAAAGAATTTAAAGCATTCAAGCTGAACGATACTATCCGTCTATCTTTTAATAGGCTTCGTTTATATATATATATATATATATATATATACGTATATATATATGTGTGTGTGTGGAAAAGTAATGATTTACATCAAAATAACTCACTTATAATCGATTAAAATTGAATCGTTTGATAATCGCCCGATCTTCATCGTTGTCTTCTGGTGGAAATTTCATAACAGTTTCATCGTCAAGTTTAATTTCTCTACTCCTTTTGTGATTGGTTTAAAATTGATGCGATACCTAAATTCGGGTCTGATTATAATGAGAGTGCCGGTATCAGCGAATTCCACATAAGTTTCTTCTTTTGCGTCCAATTTGATTTGTTTGTTAACGATAATTTTGGGACATATTTTCTTTTTATTATGCGTCTTCGGTTCTTCGGTAATAGTCATATCGACTTGAGTATTTCGCCAGTTTGTCTGAAATGATTGCACAATAAAATCCGCCCAAAAGTAATGGCTTATTAGAGCTAAACACGGAAGAATTGTTGTTGTTTATTAATTTGCATTTAAAAACGCGACTGTCGTTCCACTCAAAAATGTTTGTCCGATCATTTTAATCTTATCATATTAAACAAATTCGATACTTTTATTGCCAAATTTCCGTCGCAAAATAGTGTTGTCTTCTCTCTCTCTCTCCATTTCGCAACAGAGGCATATAGAAGACATCTTTGTTGGTTCATTAGCGTTAGTTGTTTTCATTTTCAATTTTTAATTTTTTATGAAACGTGTGTGTGTGTGTCGCCATCTCTTGTTGGGTCGGCGAACCACAAAAACCCTCTATCCATCTGACAATACCACAAATAATTAGGATCGACACAAATAAAAGGCCTGTGATCCTTCAATTGGTAGTCAGTTAACCAGTTATACTTCAGTCAGTCTTTTTGTACCTGTAGTGTCGAAACAACCATAAATGCAAAAAAATAATTGAAAATTTTTTGGTAAGTTTTTTTTCTTTTTGTTTTTCATTTAATCAATCTCACCAAGTTTAAAGAAATTTCAATCAAAAATACACTATTTGTATGAAAAATAATATATCGACAATTTGTATGAAAATACATTTAAGTGGCCTTAAACTTTTGCAGTGTAGTGCATTTTTGATTGAAATTTCTTTAAGCTTTCAGAATGTCGGCTTTTTGTGAAAAAAATAAAAATAAAAAAATACAGCGTGCAAAGTTTCACGTCGTTACGATATCATATAGGCATGGCTCCGATATGAAAATTCCCATTTTTAATAGTTTTTGTATGAAAATTGCGTCGAAAATTTTTTGTATTGTAAAACTAATGACAGATTCAGTTTTCTCGTGAATTCAAATTTATGTACAGTACTGCTCAAAAGTATTAGAAAAAAAATAAAAAATACATTTTTTTTCGATATATTACATCATTTATTAACAAAAACCTTCGTTTATTTGCTTTAATTTTTGTAATCGGCACATTGAGCAAACAGAAAATGCAACAGTGGTTAAGAGAAAATGTGCTTGATTTTATTGACAGAGATGAGTGGCCGCCAATTTATTTTATTTTTTTACAAAATAATGATTTCGCTTGTGTATTAACTACATTTAATGTAGTACATTATTCACATCGACAGAATTGCGTGCGAAAAGAGGCATTCATTTCATATACAGACCAAATGAATTGAATCTCGGCAGAAATTTATCACATTATTTGTTATATGATTCGTCCGATAAAAGTTAAAATAATATGAAGTCATTGCCTTTGCAATTCAATTAGTCGATTAATTGCTTAACTCAAAAAAAAATTTCAAAAAGAAAGAAATTCTTTATTTGTTCGATGAAGAAAGGAGTATAATCAGTATTGAGAAATATGTGATTACTCATGTTCGTCGTCAATGTTCTTTCAGTAAAAGCTTTTTACGAACATCGACAAATCACTTTAAAATCAATCATCGCATGTGACGTTGTTGAATTTATTCGAACACGTACCGATTTCATGCATCGCGACCGCTTTGTGTGAGGGATTCGCCTTTGTTGAACTATTCGATTTATTTCAAATTCATTTGTGATGCAATCAAAGTGTGATTTCTGATTAAATGCAAATACTATATAATTTCACATGATTCGACTCCTATATTTTGTTCGATCAATAAATACCCTTATAAGCTTATTTGGATAATTTCATATTGAAAATCAAATGTTCTCTCTCTCTCTCTATCTATTTATAGGTATGCTCTGTTTGATTTTACTGTCTTATATTTCCATTGCAAATTGATTGAAAAAGAAGAAGGCCCCCAAATCCTGTAGCATCAACGCAGTAAGTACCTAACAACAATAAAAACGAAACGATAATTTAAATAGCTGTAGGTATAGGAATTTCAAAATTAATTCTCAACTGAAACCGACCCAATTCATTATATTCTGGAATTTATCAGTCTTCCGTGCGTTCATGCAGTTTTTACCATTTTTTTTTTGGTGTAATGCAAACGATGAAAATATACTCACTTTATCAGAAACCATTTCAAAGGGATTCAAATAAAAAGATGTTATCGTCTTCTAAAATGAATTGGTCATAAAAAATGACACAAAGTTCTTTGTAATACACAACAACGAAGCACTGCAATTATGGAAAGTAATCGAACCGTTGGCAAAAAGAGCACAAAAAAGTAATAAATACATTGATTCGACTGCCATTTTTTATGCATTTACAATTTGTGTGTGTGTATGTGTGTGTATAAATGTGCTGGAAATTCGTTCATAAAAAACGCTTTAATTACGATTAGGTTTTCATTTTATTCCATTTTCACAATGGAATGAAAAAAAAAGAGAAAAAAGAATAAAATTAGATTAATACGTAGGCTGTTACTTATATATTGAGAATAGCAAACGCAGATAAACATTTATTATTGAAAATGACTTTATTGTTTTTCAAAATATTCTCCGTGATGATCGATACACTTTTGCATTCGATGAAACCATTTGTCATAGCATTCATGCCGCTCCGAAACTGATATCTCCAAAACATGTGTTTTGAACGCATCAACTGCTTCTTCGGGCGTTGAAAATCGTTGACCACGCAGTTTATTCTTCACGCTTGGGAACAAAAACAAATCGTTGGGTGCCAAATCAGGACTGTACGGCGGATGACCCATCAGTTCGATGTTTTGACTGGTCAAAAATTGAGTTGTTTGATTAGATGTGTGAGAGCTCGCATTATCATGATAAAGAATTATTCTGCGACGGCGGTTGTTTTTTCTTATTTCACCAAACACTTCCGGCAAACAAATGGTGAAATACCAATCAGAATTGACGGTCTTACGATCTTCTAGTGGAACTGTTGCCACCTGACCATTTCTCTCGAAAAAACAGGCGACCATTTGCTTCGAAGTGCTTCTTGCTCGATCAACTTTTGTTGAGTTATCTTCACTTTGGAAGACCCATACTGTTTTCTGCTGTTTACTTTCGGGCTCATATCCATAGATCCATGATTCGACACATGTGACGATATTATAAATGTCTTTTGATGCACCTCGATTGTATTTGTTGAGCATTTCTTTACACCAATTGAATGGGTAAGAATAATCATGACCTCCAAACATTCTTTAAAAAAATTCCAATACAAGACGATGAATTAAAATAAATGAGATACTAACTCGCGTTTAAAATAAATCTGATACTTGAAAGATATTGAAAATAAAAGTGGTATGTATCACATTTATTTTCAGTGTCGTTCAAGTATCAAATTTATTTTCAATTCTGGCTAGTATCTTAATTCGAATGATGCAATTGCCACGTTTCATAATGGCCGCAAGCAGCTTCCGTGTGCCTGGACATCGCACATGTTTCTTGATCTTAATCGACGAATTGGCTGGTGTTGATCCGCCGGCTTCAATGTAGAAAATTGATGGTTGATTGTGAACCATTTTGCATGCCGTTTTATCGATTGCACGAACCGATTCGATATGCTTGTCCAGTCCCAAGCGTGCATACTGTTTAGTTGAATATGTTTCAATGCCATCATTCATTACACGTAATCGATGTTCAATGTACGAACGCCATGATGGTCCTTTTAGCGATGGCATTTCACCAATCATAGCTGCAATTCGATTACGATCAGCTTGCTCTTTGAAAGTAAACAATCGTGTGATTCGTTCGGCTTTTGCATTACGTCGGCCTTGTTTCGCATCCCCTGTGATAACGCTTGCTGGATATACGCAAATTCACCTAACAAAATTAGAACAACAAAAACAACATTGTATTCTTAGTCACAATCACTTCATTCATTATTAAATGGCAAATGGTATGTAAATCTCTTCGTACCGAAAAAATGATGAAATAATGACGAAAAATTTTGTTTCATTTATCATATTGTATAATAAATTTGTGATTTAACATTATATATAGGTTTTGTCAGCGGTTTGTGCGATTGAAAATTCTTAACAACAACAACAACGCGGTGTCATTTTCATGCCAAACAAAAGGTGTGCGGAAAAGGAGCGACTATAGAGAAAATAATTTAGTGATAATTACTTTTCCGCACACACATAGTGTGAAAGGGGAAAGTATTGCAATGGGTCAAAATTTACGACATCTCAAAAACATGTTTTCTGGACGTTTCTGAGGTCAGAGAACCCGAATCAGGCCGTTTTGAGCATGGTTGTTGTGGGTCTGTTCCACGTCGTACGTCGTACGTCGTACGTCGTACGTCGTACGTCGTACGTCGTACGTCGTACGTTGTCCGCCGTACGCAAAATTTGTCCATCGATTATCTCACCCCACAGAAATGTTATTTGAAATCTGACTTCACGGGATGATTGGGGGTCCCGAGGAATAGAAATCATTAGATTTTGAGCGACTTTGGTCGATGGAAAAAAATTTCATGCCTGTAGTGATACCTATGAAAAAGAGTCCAATTTTCGTCCAAAAGTCATACTTAATGTAGACTAATGATTTAAACACTCAAAAATATGTATTGGGGGGTTTTTTGGCACGAGAAAACCGAATCCGATGTTTGTTTTGAGATACAATTAAGTTTTAACAGAGTTTCTTTGAAAAAATCGCAAAAAATTTAATTTTTGTATGGGAGCCATGCTTTTACGCTACCTTAATGACTTAAAAATTTGCACAGACTATTTTTCACACAAAAAAATAACATTCTGAAAGTTTGAAGAGATTTCAATCAAAATTAGGGGTACCTCTCATACAAAATTTTCAATTTTTGGATCAAAAACGAATATTTTGTATGGGAGGTGCTCTTAATTTTGCTTAAAATTTCTCCAAACCCTCCGAATGTTATTTTTTTGTGACAAAAATAGCCTGTGCAAAGTTTCACACCATTAAGGTAGCATACAGACCCATATAAAAATCCAAATTTTTTGTGACTTTAGTTATGAAAAGTGTTTCAAAAATAATTTTCATGGCAAAATTAACGTCAGACATATTTTTTATAGTGTTTTGTTAGAAAATAGAATACTTTCAAATGTCGTACAAATGGGTTCATCATGAAAGTGTAAAAAATCTTTTCTCGAGTACTTCTGCTATTAAATTAAAGAATATTTCGTTGCCAAAGTTGGAACATATTTTTTGGTCTCGGACTTTACGCCGCTTGAAAGGCTTGAAAAATCGAACAAATATTATTTTGAACTTTCTTAATAAAATACACAACTACCACAGTGCGGAAAAGTTCGTCTTACTCCCGTAAGACTCTTTATTTTAATTAGAAAAAGGCGTAAATTCCATGATAGCATCTATCACCGATTCAGCAACATAACATAAAATCATCTCGAGCACTCTACCACCATCACAAAAGGTATGTAAATCAATTAATTCCAATTAACGCTTTGCAAAAAACCTTTGCTGCATGTTTTTTCATTTAAACACTGATAGTTTTGAAAAACTACAAATCAATTTGTACTATTAACTATTAAGCATGTTAATGAATCTATTTTTAAAATTTGTGCAGTTATTTAGTAAATATAACCAACCGGCTAAGCCTATGAAGAGACAGAATGCGTAATCTCCTCATTTATGCCATCTTGTTTTCCATAGTTGAACTCAATTTTGTTGCACTGCATTGAATCGAAAAAAAGAAAAAAAACAACAACAGTAACATGGCTACATAGATCTGTTGACCAGTGAGATACGTATAACAATGGAATGAAAGAATGAAGAAAGCGTATATGACATATAATATGTGTATGTATGCATCAGCACGCATAGATGTACAGTTCTGTGTGGCCGTGCTATTGTTGTTGTTTTTTCTCTTTTTCATTTCAATGCTACAGAATCAAATTCAGTTTTTCGATCTAATTCGAACTAATGTGAGGTGGCGCTGATCAGCTGCGTTCGCATGAAAAAGTTCCAAATCTCATATACGCCAACCCCGCTTGAATATAACACTTTTTAATGCGTTTTAAATATCAATAAAATGTCTTACATACGTAAGATGAACTTTTCCGCACTGTGATCCACAAAATTCATTTATTACATATCTTTTACTTGAATGAGAACTGACGAAAAACTGAATCTGACATTAGTTTTGCGATACACATAATTTTTGACACACTTTTTATATAAAAATTACTTAAAATTGGAATTTTAGGATGGAATTAATCCTTGTACGTATGATATCGTAACGACGTGAAACTTGCCACAGGGTATTTTTTCACAAAAAGCCGACATTCTGGAAGTTTGAAAAAATTTCAATACAATTTAGGGGTACTTCCCATACGACATTTTCGTTTTTGGGTGAAAAATCCAAAATTTTGTTCGGGAGGTGCCCCTAATATTCGTTGAAATGTCTTCAAACTCTCGGAATGTTATTTATGTGTGATAAAAATAACCTGTGCAAAGTTTCAGCTCATTACGATATCATACAGGCATGGCTTTCATACAAAAATCCAAATTTTTTGAAATTTTTGTATGAAAAGTGTGTCGAAAGTTATTTGTATCGCAAAATTAACGTCATGTTCGGTTTTCTCGTACCCAAAAACCCCCCAATACACATTTTTGAGTGTTTAAGTACTAGGGGGTAGACACATGGAATATTACTTGAGATATTCACCGAAATTGAAGGTATTCTTGGTATTCTTGGTATTCTCAGTTTTAGGCGAAATGTCAATGTATTCAGCAACGTCTCACAATGTGCATATATGAATATTATCTTCCAAATATTAAAAAAACTTTTTCAACGCTATCAAGTGTATTATTTCAATTGGTTTAATAAATGCAAAAACAATTTTGATAAAAATGACAGAAAGAAAACAGAAAAAATTAGAATAAATTTCAAAATGGTGAATGTTAGAACGAAATGGAAAAAACTTGAAATCTTTATTACCGATATCAATTTGACATTTGGTAATGACGGTATTCACATTTTTAGTACAAGTAATCTTCAAATAAGTAAGTAATTGTCGTATTTGAAAATAGATAGGTATTATGACAATTCATTGGTATTCATTCATTCTCTATTGTGTCTACCCCCTAGTTTAAGTATACATTAAATATCACTTTTGGAAGAAAAATTGAATTTTTTCCACGGATGGCCATGGGCATCACACCAGACATGACACTTCACTCTGTCAACCAAAGTTGCTCAAAATCCAATGGTTTCTATTCCTCGGCACCCCCAATCATCCTGTGATGTCAGATTTTGAATTACTTTTCTTGTTTGAAAGTTATCGTGTTAACAAATTTTTGCGTACAGGGTACCACGCACAAAAATTCGGACATCGAAAAAACGCTAGATTCGTGTTCCCTGGCCCCAAAAACACATTTTTGATGGGTGTTAATTTTTCGACCGATTCCAATACTTTACCTTACACACTAGGTGTGTGCGGAAAAGTAATATGCGCTATATAATTCCCATAGTATACTATACGTCTATATGGAAAACTTTCTGTGCATTTCTAAAAATAAATAAATAAATATGTTTGTGTTTATTTTCAAAATGCAAAAAAATTGGAACATACATAACATTTGATGTATCTTTATTTCTCTTTTATTTCAGAATTTTCAAAATAAATAACACACACACACAATATATATACAATAGATTAGATACAATATTTAAAAATAAGTTTAAAATCACAGACATTAATATTATTACGTAGGTATACACATTTCCAATCAATGTTTGAAAAAAAATAATATACATTCAATTTAATTTAGAGTTAAAGATTGTAAGATGAAATTTGTATCTATATTTGTTGCTTATATTGGCCCCATCATCATCATCACCCAATTCGTCAATTCAATTGATGCTTTTAACATCAACGTCAAATATGGAGAAGTGATTGTAAATGGTGTAAATGAATGCACATTTGAACACAGAGGCGATACATACACCTATAAAAGCTATGATGATAATTTTTCAATGAAAGGTAAAATACTTTTCGGAATGATTGAGTACAACTGCGAAAATAATACTGGTGTATTAGTTTCATATGTTGAATGCAAACCATATATATTTTGCATGTACAATGAATTATTTCCAAAATGCAGAAATACCAAGGCAAAATACATTTTAGGATTTACATTTGGTTTGAGCGTGGTTGTGTCGGTGTATCTAATTTTACGGTTCTATAGACATAGCATACAATCATGGTGGCGTTCCATTCAGACACAAAACCGTGATAAAAAACTTATGAAGAAGATAGAAAAACATGAAAAACTTACAGGCACCACTCTACCAAATGTACGTTTCAAGGAGATCCACACCAAAATTTTAAATCCAGAGCATGTGAACAAAATCAAAAAGAAAAGAGATACATTTATGTCTGTACGCTACAATTCAATTCCACATAAAGCTTCAGCTGCCACAACCAAAAAGGTCACAACATCAGATAAAAAAATAAATCGAAACCAAATTAAGAAAATGTCAAATTCGTTGGCGTTGCCGCCACCGCCGCCACGAATTTATACCCAATTTTCAGTAATACAAATATTGCTAATATTTGGATTGTTAATTAGTCTAGTTGGTGGATGTGACAACAAACTATATATTAAATTAGATGGGAGAGTATGTGAGGAGAATGTATGTAAGGATATTAAAATGGCATCCTTTCCGATACAAAGTGGAAAATCGTTATGTTTTATAGATACAGACAATAATGAACTAAATATAAAAATAGAAAATTCGTATTATCGCGCCCATTATCATCACATATATGACACATCCGATTTTGAATTGAAAATGGCCACAATATCTCATTGTGGCTGGAATTGTCCAGAAAATGATTGTGGATTAGATGTACAAAATGAAATTTTTAAACCTCTTCCCAACAAAGTTCAGGGATTTACATGTGAAACAAAATCAACGTGTTTTTGGCCATGTGTTGGTGGTTATTCATGCACTTACACCCATTGGTGGTTAGAGCCCACGGGCAATGTGGCCAGAGTCTACGAATACACATATAGAATTTGGGAAACAGAAATAAATATTAAATATAAAGGAACGGATAAAACGATCAAGTTGAATGCACATAAACCATCTTATCAGATCGAAGTTGTCCATTTCTCCGTGGACAATAATTTGCCAATTTTATTGGAATATATATCGGGCACTGACTATCATCAACCAAAAAATGTAATTAAAGATGATAACATATACTATTTAGTTGAAGCCTCAGAACTCAATTTTCCAGAGACAGACAAAATTGGTGATTATCAAATTCAAATAGAAGGTGGTAATAGGAGTCACTTTTATAATCATAACGAAATAAGATGTCAGGCAGATAATTGTCGAAGTTCTTGTCAAACGCCAGAACCAAAATTGCGCCGATTCAGAAATTCGAAAAAACCAAACGACAACTTATTCGGATTTGAGTATAAAGATAAGCATTACATTGAAACAAAACATAAAATACGAGCAAATTTAAAAATAATGATTGGAAATGTAGACATTGCTAATTTGAAATATGAGAAAGCCAACTGTGACATTGAAGTAGTTTCAAGCTATGGTTGCATTGGGTGCAATCAAAAACCATATATAATTATCCAAGCAAATAGCATAAAACAAAAGGGCATCATCCCCTTCCAAAGCAACTGTACATTTGACCAGCAATATTTGAGCTGCTCACACGAACCATATGCTCTTGAAATAGAAGAGCTAGATTCATATTGTTACATCTTTATGCCAAGCCTCAATAAAACCATATACATTGATACAAATATTGAATTTGTTCGCATTTTAAATCCCTCACAACCGCTAACAGTTTCTGAAACTCCCTTGGAAATTGCAAAAGATTTTTTTTTAAATTGGGATTTTGCAAAAGCTGCAATAATGACCATGGCTGGTTCTATTATATTTGGTGTGCTGTTAGGCGCAACGAGTAAACTTATACAAGTTTGTATAGTGAATCAAGAAATAAAGCGTATGCAACAAAATCATCAAATATAATGACATTCATCTCATCATTTTTAGTTATATATCTTATAATTTTTAGTTTTAATAGTAGTTGTAATTAATAGTAATATAGTATTTGTTTTTTCCGCAAAAAAAGAATACAATTACAATTGTGTGTGTGTGCTAAGGAGAAAAAAATGCGGTTGCCAAATATTCGTCGCTGCAAGCATCACGTTCATCATCACAACAGAGCTCTATATCTCTCTGCATCATCTCTATCTCTCTTCGCGATGAGCCGCCTGAAACTGAATCAACAGAAATTGCGTGTGTATGGCGTGTGTGTGTGTTGAACGAGAAAAAACACAAATATTCGCTGACATGGCTCTATAATACCCAATTACCCAGCCATCAGATGTGACGATAGCAACCGCACACACTCACACACAAACAGAAAAAAAAACAAAAAAACAAACAAATACACATATAGTTATAAGCTAACTTTTTCGTCACACTTTTTTCTTTCCACATGTATTCGATTAGTATTATAAGTTTTATGTTCTTATCATCATTTCCTTTCACCAATAAAATTATGTAAAAAAAATGAGTGTGTGTGTGGCGAACGGGTACAAACACCAAAAAAAAAACACAAATATTCGCTGAGATGGCTCTATAATACCCACCCATCAGATGCAAAGATAGCAACCACACACAAACACAAAAAAAAAAAACAAATACACATAGAGTTATAAGCTAACTTTTCGTCACAATTTTTTTTTCACATGTATTCTATTAGTATTATAAGTTTTATGTTCTTATCATCATTTTCTTTCAACAATAAAATTATGTAAAAAAAATTGCGGATTTTTAATTCGATGCCCATCAAATTTGATGCACTACTAAAATATACAAAAATAAAGAGGCTTACGTACGCAAGCTGACTTTTCCGCATGGAACCGAAATTTTGGGAATAAACAGAAATTATGTTCTATGTATGGTTGCAGTAACTTAAATTACCGTGAAAACTTGTGAATATTATTTTCTTATCAAAGTAAATAATCACACCAAGTTTAAAGCAATTTCAATCAAAAATAAAATGTCTTACATCCCTAAGATGAACTTTTCCGCACTGTGATCCACGACATGAAAGAAAACTA